CTTATTATTTACTTTTAGACCGTTGCTTTCTAAATTAAATATACTTGATATTTTTGACACGTTAAATTAGAAATACATTTATATAGACTAAATAATAATATAAATACGTACATAAAAAAATTAACAAAATTGCGTGGTGAATATTTTTTTGTTTATATTCATTTGTTTTTTTGTTTACATAGAGTTTTTTTTATAATATTTTTAACGTGAAAGGTTTTAGTTATTTAATTCTAATTTTTTACTATTATAGATTTTAAAATTATTTGTATGTTTTTTAAACATTATAATGGTAAAGTTTAGCAATTTGTAGTTAAGAAATATTTTTTAAGATTTATATTTAATATTTGCAATTTTAAATGTACAAGTTGAAACTTTTTAAGGTGTATAATGATTTAAATATAGTATAATTAAACCTATATGTCAATTGCATTTTTAATTTAATAAGTGTTAAATTTTTTAAGTTTTTACTGCACTTAATTTCCACTAGCAGTTTAATTTTACCAAAATTTTTTGTAATTAATTTATAAGTTAAAAACGCAATTAATGTTAAGTTTAATTATATTTAAAATCTATTTTGGTTTTAAAGGATACAGGTTATTTTATGATTAGCGAATATACTAAATTTTTTTAACTTACAGGTTATAAATCTTTTCTTGTCCTGTATAAATACATTTTTATATTAAATGGTTATAAAAACAATAAATTTTTAATATTCACAGTTTTAAAACTTAGTTTTGTTATAAAAAATTATAAAAGTAAAAGTTTGTTGTTAAAAAATAAAAACCAGCAAAAGAAGAAAAACCATTAGGTCACCAAAAACTTCACTGTAAAAACATTTAGTTTTGTTATAATTTTTTTTACTTACAAAGAATTTAATGTGCTTAAAGACTGTTACAGCTTTAAATTACTAATTTAAAATAAATTTATTAGAAATATATAGTAGACAATTTTTAAATAATGACCTTGTGCTAAATTTATTTAATAACACTTGGCCCAATATCTAAACCAACATTTTTAAACAGTGCATTAACAATATTATTTTTTATTTATCTTTTCTGTCTTAAATATAAACAATTTAAATATTTTTATGCCATTAAATTTATAATTTACTAGCACATTCAATAACAAAAGAGTATTTTATAAATTTTTATAAAAAGTATTTTTCTTTATTCTTTTAGTTTATTAAATTAAATATAAATACGTTTTATTCCTAATCTATTTTTATTCTATCCCCTTATTTTATGAATCTTGAATTGTATAAAGATTATGGTACTGTTTGTCATGCAATATGTGTATCATTAAGTCATAAAAATAATAGCACTGTATCTCAAATACATAGCAGTATTTTTAATTCTGACATATCACTTATTTACCAAGGATTGGCATTATTAATACAAAGAAATATAGTTTCTTATTACAAACTTAACTCAAAGCTTTATTATACGTTTACACCCAACAGAAGATTGTATTATAATTTATACTTATCATATATTAGAAGTATTTATGACATTACAAATTATAAACATTTTTTTACCGTTTTATTATCTGGATCATACAAATTAATTAATACTGAATTAGATATTTATAAAGATGATTATATTATTACTATTCCAGTATTTAGATCCATAAAGAGATCTAAATCTAATATTTATACAGTTAATTACGAGAAGCTTGATAAAGCCTTAGTAGATCAGTACACTATTCAATTAATAAAAAATAGATACACAAGATCTATGTCAGAAGTGTACAAAGCTGTGTGTAAATGTTCTGATATTACTGTGCAAAATGTCTTAAATAGCTTAGAAAGTAGTAATATATTAATTAAAGATAATATATCATATATTAATGATATTAGTAATATTGAAGAATACCTTAAATATTTACTTAACTTTGGTGTGATTAATAAAGATGTAGAGACAGGTAAATATGTAAAGGGGAATACTAAAGAGTTATTAATGAAAACAGAAATATGTAAAATATTTAAACATGAAAAAGTAATATTTAATTTACTATCTAATGTGGAACATATAAAAGATAGCGAAATTGCTAAGAATTGTCTGTTTAATGATTATAAAAGAAGATTATTTTCATTAATGAAGTATAAGAGTGTTTATACTGAAGGGGGAGATACTTGGGTGTTTAATAAAAAATGGAATATTGGAATTTGCAGGGAAATTGATTGTGAAATCAACAAGCGGCTTATTAATATAAATAAATTGTATGAGGAAGGAAGTATTTATGATAATGAAGAATTTATAGTCAGTTGTTGTGAAGTGAATTATCTTAGCATGTTAAATTTTATATTTAATTAATATGTTTTTGAAATTAGTACTTTAATTAAATTTAATGTAATGTGTAAAATGTAATAAATATTATTTAATACGTTACTTTAGAAAAAGAAAATAATATTGTTTTTAATTTAAAAAAATATTATAATACAAATAATAAAAAAATCATGCACTAATAAAAACAATTTTAATTTACATGTTTTTTAACTGTACAAATAATATTTGAAGTAACAGGTCTTGCTTGAAAGAATACAACACTACAGAAGAAATTTTTTAAATTAGATGCAAGACAATTTTTTATAAATAATATAACATTTTAAATTAGTTATTTATTTTTAATTTTTAACATAAAATGATCCTCATCTTTGTTATTTTTAATATCATCACATTTAGCTTTTTACAATAAATTGACGTAAAAAGAACTGGCATTGTATTTCAACAATTTAATATAACTAATGTTATTCAGTTGCTAGAATCAACATTTCTTATAGTGCAAAAGTAAAATTAAAAGAGATATTTTATATTCTAAAAGAAATAAAGTTAATATTCACTAAATATAGTCTAAGGATTGCTTTACATATTTATTTTAAGTTATTGATAAATAAGCTTATGTAGATGATTTGCTCTTAAGATCTTAGCTGATTTTTTCCTTTTAAGGTTCAGATCGTCAGACAAAAAAATCCTTTTAATTAATTTAATAACATTTACTAAACATAGCAATTTATTTTTAATTTTTAAATGCTAAAATGATGGTGGTTTGTTACAACTCTGTCATACACCATTTATGAATTATTTTTATAAAAAAAAGTGACATTTTGTAAATGAATTTTCTTTACCTATTTTTATTTCTATAGTGTTATAATATCACATTTATAATTTCCACCTTTTTCTAAGTTTATCTACGTTTGAGATATTAGATTAATCCAAAATAGCTTATTTTAATATAGAAAATATTTACAAATATGAATAATACAATATTTATAATTTTGATTAAATTAAATCTCTTACAAGTTTTATCTATGACTTTTACAGTCTATGTATCAAAATTAAATGTTTCTGCAAATAACTTAAAAATGCACTTCTAAATAAAATATTTTTTTATTTTTTCGATTCTTAATCACTGATTGTTTTTTTATTACTTCTCTATCCTTTGAGTCTAACAACAATTATGTATTTATAATATACCATAAAAACTATATCCAAATATAATTACTGTTGTTATTACCTTCTTTAAACATGCCTGTTGATTTCAAATTCCTTTATATAGACATTTATGCTTGATTGTTTCATATCACACAACTATATGAGCGTCAAACCTAGGCAGATCAAACTTCTTTATTATTTCATGATGTCACCATATATCCTACTTACAACAATTACATAAATATTTTTTAAATATCCATCTTCTCTTTATTTTTACACTTAAATTTTAACTTTCTATTTCGTAGTTTATTTTTTTCACATTTTTTATCCCTTGCATGAATGATGAAATTCTTAGATTACAAAGTAAAATATTAGAACTTGAAGAATTATTAGAAGATAAAGAAATAATGATTAATCTACTTTTAAAAGAGATTAAAAATATAAAAAGTAATAAAACAAAGTTACTTAATGGACATATAGACAATGTTGTAGAAATAAACACTAAAAGAGTAAAAATAACTGAATCTTCTAGTTGCACTGCAGTGCCTGTAAAAGAAGATGATAATAAATTAAAATCTGACAGTGTAGCTTGCACTACAAATGATAGTTTACCACATATCGCTCCTGAAATATGTTGGGTGTACAAATACAAACTTAAAGAAGATTTAGAAGTTTTACTAAATAAAAAAAAGGTGGTCAGACTTTTTAAGGATAATGTATATTTTGATGAATTTATGGATTTCTGTTCAGACACTTACGTCATAAACAGTTTTGAAGTTACAAAAGTGTCTCACGGAAAGAATGTAAAAAAATATCTACAGGAAAATAAGACACATATACTGAAATACCTTATTCTAAATATTAATAAGATACATTTTACATCTGTATGTTCTACCTTACTAGCCTTAAGTACTGAATTTACAGATTTAGAGAAATGTGTTATTATTCATGATCTTATTCTTTATTTACAAGATTTTTCTAAACTAGTATTTTATGCATTTTGTATATTTAATAAAGAATTAAAATCAGATTTAAATATTTTAAAGATGACACTACACATGATACTATCATTTCAATATAAAATAGATTTAGAAATACATAAAAATAAGAAGATTATTATTACATCATTAAATAACTTAAAAAGTATATTTAACTTTCAGAAACAAGTTATATTAGAAGATTATTTATTAAAAATTAAATCAGATATTGAAATAATTGTAAAAGGTAAAATAAATCCCGCGATCTATGAATATATTTATTCTGTGAGGGCACTGGGGCACTTTTTAGATTGGGATTATGTTTATAACATTTTTATTTCTGAGAATCTTATTCAGAATATTACAGGATGTAAAATTTTATACATGGGAATATTAGCATTAAATTCTATTAGAATTTTTGGGGAGACAGAAAGTGCAGATATTATTATTAATTTTATAAAAGACAAAATGGTGGAAGTAGATGAAATAGGTATTGCTTCTTTTTTAGTTGTTAAGCAATTAAATGAAAAGGATTCTCTTGGTTTTTTAGAGGCAAATGAAGATAATTTAATGAAAAAAGGATATGATATTGAATACTTAAAAAAAGTGTTAATATATTGAAGTTGTAAATTGATAATTGAAATTTTATGTTGAATAAATAAATTTTGAGTTTTTACGTTTTATTAATCTTTTAACGCTCTGTGCAATTTTCAACAACATATTTTTAAATTTACGAATTACTTGACGTAGAATGCTCTGTACAGTTTTTACAACAATATTTTTTTTAAATTATCAAATTATTCGATTTGAACGCTTTGTGCAATTTTCAACAACATATTTTAAATTTACGAATTACTTGACGTAGAATGCTCTGTACAGTTTTAATTTCAATGTTTTGTGATATAAATTTAGGCTTTAAAAAGCACAGATCGCCTTGTACAGTTTTAAATTCCTTTTTTATTTTATCAAAAATATCCCTTTTTATGAATAAAGAAGCATTTGAACTTCTCTCAGATTACAAAAAAAGAAGAATTGAAGATGCTTATTTTGCAGCAAGTAATAAACAAATCAGTCCTACAGATTTCTTTGGTATCTGTAAAGAAATTTTAAATCCAGAAGAATATGCTAATTTGTTCCCACGAAATACTGAAATCAAAACTGAACATTTAGAAGACATTCTTCAATATTCGGGTGTGGATCTAAAAGAAGAAAACGAAAAAATCTTAGAATACAATATTTCATATGCCAATGATGACTATGAAGATGTAGAAGGACAAATACATTCTCTTTTAAATGTAAAATTATTTAAAGAATATGTACAAAAATTGGCTAAAAATAGGAAGCTTATGGTCAGTGAAGATGTTTACACTTTATTATTCTTTATTTTAAGAAGAAAACTAATAGATTTTATCGATAAAATGGATGAGATGAGTAAAGTAAGGGTAGAATGCTTATTACTTGATAAAAATGTACAAATAAAAAATGATCTAACAAGGCAACTGTGGTGCCTAGAGCAGATAGAGAAAACAGAAATGGAGAAATTAAATCTAAAAAATACAGAAGATAAAAAAACTAAGAAAAAAAATATACAAGAAAGAGAAGACTTAGTAGTCAAAAAAAAGTTAAGTAATACAGTGGCTATGCAAGCACTTGGTATACAACAAAAAAGTTGGATGAGTGGAGAAGAGACCATTGTTAATAAAAATATAACAAAATTTAAATCTATTTATTCACCATACGATGATAAACATATTGAAAAGAAAGTAAATGCAAGAATTCTTAATATGAAAGATTTCTTGTGTGTATTGGAAAGAGATAAAAGATATAATAAGTCTATTTTTACTATACAGCATTATTTTAAGTAATAAATGTTTATATTTCTTGTTTTATATTTAAATATTGTACATTAAAATTGATTTATTTTTTTTACATCTTGAGAATAAAGAAAAACCAACTGTGTTTTTATTTAAATTATTTTGACCTAAAAATTTGTTTTTTAACATCTTGAGAAGAAATAAAAACCAACTGTGTTTTTGTTTAAATTATTTTGACCTAAAAATTTGTTTTTTTTACATCTTGAGAAGAAATAAAAACTAATTGTTTTTTGTTTAAATTATTTTAGGATTTTTTATACCCGTTTTTATGCCAAAGTTATATCGTGGAATTATAGAAATTGCATCAAAAGAAGATATCGAAACATCTGTACTAAATGAACTATCAATAGAAGAACTTAATATCTTTTTAAAATCACTGGAAGGTTATAATAAAGAATTAGAAAGTAGTCTTATAAAAATAAATGATCAAGTTTTCTTAAAGAAAAATTCTATGAAATTTGTACTAAAAAGGTTGTGGGTATCTTTAGATGAAAAAGATAAAAAAAACCTGGCGATTTTTTTTAAAGACGTAGACGAATATATTATTGGTATATAAAACTTGTAAACTAGTAATGTTTTTTAGCATTTTTAGAAAAATAAAACTTCTTTAAAATACAAATAAAATCAATTAGAAATAAAAATAATTTTACTTTAAAAATTCATCTATAATTTTAGACAAATTAAGGTTTTTTTCTTTTTTATTGAAACAGTACAAATTCTTATGCTCATTTTCATCAAGTTCTACACCATCTTTAATATTGCAAAGTGCTTGTTTTACTAAAATAGGGTCATATGATCTAGCCAATATAACTTTAAATGTATCAATAAAATCTTCTTTAGTTAATTTATTGTTATTAAAATCAATCTTATTCAGGAAATCATCATCTAAAAATATGCCAAGTTTATAAATAATACTTCTAAAATCTTTAAATGATATTTCAGTCCCAAATTTATTAAAAAGATCACAGGCTTTTTTTAGTGTATTTTCTTTAATAATATTTTCATTATGTAAATAATTTAAAAATTCAATGTATTGTAAAACTACTTCTTTTATATTTTTGTAATCTGAATCAACAAGCTTTTGTTCAAACTTCTCTTCATTTTTAATTATCTCATTTGATAAAATAAGCTTTTTTTCGAAATCATTGTCGCCACCAATTATATTTTTAATATAATCAAGTTTATTATTAAGCTTAGTTTCCGCATCAGAGACATCACCAATTTGTAAACAGTTACATAAAAACAAATTCATATCTTCGTATAAAAAATTAACTTTATCAATAGAAATATCTGAGGGCGGAATGTATTTTTTAATATTGTAATAATCATGAAGTAAATTAATTTCTGAGAAAGTGCTGTATATATTAATATAATCAGCCGATAACGTACTATTAATTTCTTGCATTTCACTTTTTAAAATATTTACATTTTTAAGTAAAAGTTCCAGATCTTTTTTCTTATCTTGATAAATTTTCTGTTTGTTCAAAAAACTTCTAACCTTAATTTCGTAGAAATTTCTACAATGAAGTGACCACTCAATTTTATTTAACAAGCTGTCAAGTAAATTTTTACTAATCTGATCTTTTTCAAATTGATAAAATTTTTTATAATATTCCGACAAATAAGTTATCATAGATTTTTCATCTGGTTTAACTACATCAGCGACATCTTCTATATCCAATAATTTAGGAATTTGAAGACTTTTTTCTGCTATATCAAATGCCCGTTCTAAATTAAAATGACTATTTTCAGATTTTAAATTATTGTAATCAGAAATTAATTCCGGTCTAAACCTATGTATTAATGCATTAAATCCCAGACCATCTTGCCAACTTCTAGATAGATCTATAATATTAACATTCCTATAATCTTTTGTAGCTTCTTTGCACCATCTAAGAAGCTCTTCCTTAAATGATAAGTCTCCTGCTCCCAGATCAGATATTGATAGTTTAGAAATTAATGTCCATATAAGACCAAGAATAAGCTTTTTATTACAATCAACAATATCTTCTGGACCAATATTAACTAAAAGCAATCCTTGCTTTTTTAATAATTTAAGAAGAATTTCTAAATTTTCTACTTTCTGTATTCTAGTAAAGGGCTTTTGATTAAAATTAATATTGGTGTTCAACAAACACTTTAATAAATTACCCAAAGCTACACCATCATGAAGATCACTATAAATATCTTTTATAAGTTTATAATTTCCTTTGCTTAATTTGTCGTTAAACCACTTTGTAAAGGTCTTCGCCTGTACAGCTTCCCAGTGAGTTTCCCTTATTTCGACCATTTATGGGCATAAATTTTAAATTGAATTTATACAAAAAATTCATAAATTTGAATGATGTAAAAAATAAAGTAAAGTTTATTAAATTTTGAAAATAAATAAAATCAGAATAAAACACAAAATGATGCATAAAAAAATAAACAAAATTATAGAGAATTTAACATTTTTTGATATTTACCCCCTAAGATGGGTTCAAGAAAAACAGAAATTATTAAGACCAGGCTAGTAAGAGCAAGAAGAAGTAATAGAGCTATACCTGCATGGAAAAGTGAACTTCCAGAATTTAAAGATCAGTACAATAAAAAAAGAAGACACTGGAGAGCTAAGAAGTTAAAGATTTATTAAATTATTTTTTATATTTTTTTTATCCTTATGGATGATGATGTTTGTTTTTCTTCAAATAAATTTGAACGATTAAGAATTATTGTATTTGAAAAAATTCTTAAAAGTTTAAAAAACACCTATAACATGTTACCAATCAGTGAGAATGATATTAAATTACTAATTGAACGAGATGAAATTGATTATTTATCAGACTTATAATAAAAATTTAATATTATAACTTTTTAAACTTTATTGTAGTAATCATTCTTTTAAATCTCCTAATACATTAGTAAGTGTATTTTTTTTTACTTTGTATCCTTTAGATTTTATATAGTGCTCGTATTCTCTTTGTCCACTACTTTTAAGTTCTACGCCTTTTTTGTCATACAACACCTTAGGTATAAATTTATAACCTTTTTTTAGTAAAACTTTCTCTTTATTATTTTCATCTAAGACTACAGAAACTCTAGTTATTGTATTCATACCACACTTTTTACAAAAATCAAGTTTTTCGTCATACATCGCAAAACACGCAAAGCAGCGCATTTTATAAATTTTAGATATAAACTTATCATCATTGTAAATATCAAGATGTTTAAGACATTGTTTTATGCCATTATCTAATGTAAGACATACCACTTCGTCTAGTTCATTTAGATTAGTAGTATCTACCCATGTACTGCAAAATATTTCATGCAATTCAAGAGTCAAAGCTACGATATCAATATCCGCATTACTCAAATTAAGATGCATTTTTTTGTTAATTAACGAAATGTAATTAACATATGATTCTGAAGGATTTTTAATTTCTATCATATATTTATATAAATTGTAGTATTCTCGGCTTTGTTCATTTATTAATTCTTTCTTAACTGAATTTGGAATGTATATCTTTTTTATATTTTGATTAATAGATCCACGTCTTAAAAAATAACAAGTGTCTACTACTGCAATCATAAGGGCATATAATTATAAAAAATGTAGTAATATAGAATGTAAATATTAAATTTAGCATTAGTGTAACAAGTAAAAAGTTTATTAAAAAAGTGGTGTAAAAAGACTTTAACATAATTTTAAATCAAAAATGAATTTATTTTTACATAAATTTATGTCTATTATATTAACATCATCAAGTTTCCAATAAAAAAATATTTTTAAAGTAGTTAAGCTTTTTGAGCATCAAATTTTATCTATATATTTAAATACGTAAAGATTGTTGCTGACTGGTAAGATGTTAAAAGCTGTTCATATACTTTTATTAATTTATAATTAATAATAACGAAATTTAATGTTATTTCCTATTGGCGTTTAAACATTAAAAGTTTTAAAATTAAAATATCATGTCGCCAATTATGCCATACACAGAGTTGTAAGTTTTCATTTACTTGATTTTATATTCTTTTAGCAATATAAATATGAATGCCTATTAAGCGTAATCACATAAGCATATGGAAAAAGCTCGTTGTCCAGAAGCGAAGAAAAATGTAGGAAAGAAACCAATCTTTTAAAAAATAAAATTTTAAAAATACATGCAAAGGTTTTTAAAAAATGCTTAAATTTTATGTCATGTAAATGATTTTACATTCTTAATTTAAAGCAAGTAAACAAGTTAAAATTTATAATTTTATACACAAAATTTCTGTAATCAATTATTAAAATTATCACACGATTTCAAAATATTTAAAATATTCTTTCTTTTGTAATTTAATCATGTATTTTCTTTTTTTCAATTTTTTTCCCATTTATGCAAATTGACATAAAAGATCTCGCAAATTTATGCAAAAATATTATAAAAAATCCAGAAAGCAATTATAAAAAGATTAAAGCAATTTTAAATACCAAGACAGAAAGTGAAGAAGAGAAATCTTTGATTTTTGTATCTGTTTTTAAAGTGTTTAAGAGTATCATTCCTCTTTACAAAATAAGAACTTTAAAAGATAAAGTTAAACAGAAGAAAGATGATTTAGAAATAACTAAAAATGATAAAAATTTACTAAAAGTGTATTCTACATTTATAAATCAAATATGCAGTGATACATCATATACGTCATTTTATGTTGCCACACAAATCCTAGATTATTTTGAACATTTTAATTATTTAGATGTTATTGTTAAAAAAGTCCTTAAAGGTACTCTAAAAAACAATAAAATTTCTGAAATGTGTCTTTCAACCATTAAGAAAAAGATTGATAACGATATTAATGGTGAACTTGTTTTTTATATTGTCAACCAAATGTACGAAACACCATTTTCACCTGACGCATTAGCTTTACTTCTTAACATTAATCTTTTAAAAGAATTTTTAGTTAATGAGGGCAAACCTAAAAAAGATAGGTTTTTTAAAACTACTAGGTCTTTTAAAAAAGAAGAAAGGAAGATGGAGAAAAAGAGACGTAAAATAGAAGAAGAAAGAAGGAAAGAAGAAACTTATGAAGAAAAACAAGATGGATTTGTAATTCATAGGAAAATAATTGATGGATTACAAAGATTATATTTTCTAATCTTGAGAGACAAAATTAAACAAAAATTTAAACACACTTTTATTGGAATTAGAAAATATAAAAAATATATAAGACAAGAATTTTACGAAGGATTATATATTTTATTGAATGATAGTTTAAATTTAAGTAATTATGAAGAGAAGTTGTATTGCATTTTGACTATATTGGATATTTATGAGTCATATAGATATGATTTTAAAAATTTAGTCCATGCACTTTTTAATATAATTTATCCTTTTAATGCAAATATTGGCAAATTGAAAATGCTACTAATAGAGCAAGTTATAGAGCATTTATTTATTAATATAAAGCAACCAATAAAAAGAGTACATATTATTTTAGAAAAATTATTACTTTTTGCATGTATCAGATACAATCCTGTTTTAAGTAGAATTATTAAAAAATTGGGGTCTTTTTATGACGTAGATTTCTTAGATAAATTTAAATTTAATGACAATTTAGACCTAAATGAAGAATTTGATAAGAAAGAAATAGATCTGGTTGAAATACGACCCTTATACTGTTTTGAAATATTTAAAAAAATATTGTAATAATTAAGAAATATTAAATTATTTATTTAAAAAATTTTCTATTTTCTTGCGTTTTTCATAATCTTCATTCACAAATTTTATTTCCGATTTACATTCAAAACATTCAGTATTTGTTGAAATACATCCTTCGCAAAAAACATGATGACAATTTGTTATTAAAGGATTAGTAAATAAATTGTTACAAATACTACATTTTAAATCACTTGGTATTTCTGATAAATTAGAACCAACAAATTTGTTTCTCTTCCATTCTTGTACTTGTGGCTGTGCTTTAACATAATAACCTTCTGGTGTAACCAACATGCCAGTATTTGTATTTACATCTGGTTCTTGTACTTGAACTAAAAAATCTCTGGGAATTCCTGAAGGTTTCCTAATGCGGGCAATATCAAAAGCTTTATCTTCATTTGTAGGACAGTGCTGAATAAAATGTCCTTTATTGCCGCATCTAAAGCACACATACGATTCAGGTGGAGTTGCCTTATATTTAGAAACTTTAGATGGCTCCTTTTTTTTATCACGTACAAAATAACCAGTACCTGACATCCATAGTGGTATTCTTTCAACTATTATGTGACTGTTTCGTTCTACAATTTGATATTCATCAGTAATCCTTTCATTAGTTGCATTTTCAAAAAACAACAGATCAAAGTCTTTACTTTGCATCTTTTTTTGTGTAATAATTTCATATTTAAGTTCCCATAGTGGAATTCCATTTCCTTCTATTGTGATTGTAGAAAAGTTTTTCATGCTTCTAAATTTATAGTTAATAACAGACACCATAACAGGGTGTTTACACTTGTTAAAAAAAAATGATTTTTTTAGCCCATGGCTATTTTAGATTTAGACACAATTTATACAAACACAGGGGATATATTACAAGTTAGCTACGCTCAAAAGGCAGCGGACAATGGTAACACTGCTATTTGTATTAAAAATAAGAAAGGAGTGGTTATGATAGCAGAAAAGCCTTTAGAGTCAAAATTGTTCATTACAGATGTTAATAATCGTATAAAAAAAGTCAATGATTCAATATATCAGGTGGCATGTGGTATTGAAACCGACATTGTATATGTTAATCACCATCTTAAAAATGTTCTTATTAATGAAAAGCATCAAATGGATATGGATATTAATTATGAAAATCTTAGAAATCAGTTGGTAACTTTAGTTCATATGTTTACAAAATATTCAGGGGCCAGGCCTCTTGGAATTAATATATTAACTTGTATTAAATATAATAATGAATACAAGATTATACATACAGATTGTTCTGGTAAGTCACTATTTTTTAAAAGTGCTGTTATCGGCAAAGGATCTAGAATTGTAAAAACTGAGCTTGAAAAACTTAAGCTTGAAGATTTAGAAGTTAGTGATTTGGTTGAGAATGGTATTAGGATTCTTTACAAATCTTTTGATCCACTAAAAGATCAACCATTTGATATCGAGGTTGGTGTAATGTGCGAAGAAACTAATGGACAATTTATTAGATTAGAGAAACAGCAGATTAATAATTTTGTAGAAAAATATAAGAATTTTAGTGTTGATGGTGAAGAATAAACTCTTGTCTTTTTTATTACCAACATTTTGTATTCATGCATTTTAAATTTTATTTTGAACTCATTACGATATTTGTTTGAGATAACTTTATGTTAATTTTGTTTATCTTTAAGTCCTTTACAAAGTTTACTTTTTAGTTATTTACTAAAAGTAGTTTATGTTTTAAGTTATTTTAATGAAAACTTAGGCTTTTTTAAAAATTCCTTTTTAGGCAAATTAATATCGTAATTTAGTATACATTTAACATAAATATGGTCAGTCAATACAAGCATATGGAATTTATTTAAACAATATTGATAGATTAAATAGTTTACAATATTAAAAATAATACCTTTGACTTTAATCATAAAAGTTTAAATTCTCATTTAAATGCGTTTATATCAAATTACAAAAAAAATACATTAAGTGGATCAATGTCTCCTAAAAAATTTATATTTAAGCCCATATGTCAAAAAGTGATATTGTTTTTTTACAAACAGATATTGATTATATTCTTGACACAACGAATTTGAATGTTTCTGAACCAATCATAACAATATTTGGTACAATGAAAGACGGAAGCCCTGTACAATTACTTGTTAAAGATTTCAATCCGTATTTTTATATTCAACCAGTTGGTGATCAAAATATATTTGAAGATGAAATAAGAGAGGCCATTGATAAATTATCGATAAAAGGAAAGCTTTTAAATGTCAGTACATCTATGAAATATCCTTTGTATGGATATTCTGAATCTAAGTCATTATTTTATAAATTAACTTTTAATACTCCATCAGTTTTTTATCAAATAAAGCCAATTCTTGAAGCGGGAATTCTAATAAAAAATCGGTTGGTGCGCTTTAAATTATTCGAAAGTAATTTTCCATTTGTCTTAAGATTTATGGTTGATATGAATATTGTTGGAATGCAATATCTTAAAATTAAGCGATATATTGTTTTATCATCGAATCCATTTGTAATATCCTGTTCTTACGTGGATGTTGTGCCACTGGAAATTAAAAATGAATATGTCAAGCTGCCTAAATTTAAAATTTTAAGTATAGACATAGAATGTATTAGCTTAGATAAAATATCTTTTCCAGTAGCTACAAAAGATCCAATTATACAGATCGGTAATACTGTTTCTTATTCAGATGATCCTAGCAAGATTGAGCAGGTAATTTTCTGTTTAAAAGAAACTGCGCCAATTCCCGGTGCAATAGTAAGAAGTTTTAACACGGAGAAGGATCTTCTTATAGCATGGAAGGAATACTTTATAGATCAAAATCCTGATCTAATATTGGGTTATAATCTAAAAGGGTTTGATATTCCATACATTTTGGAAAGAGGCACCACCTTAAATATAGAAGATTTTAATAAGTTGGGGCGAACACAAAAACCATGTAAAGCCAAAGATGCCGTTTTTAGTTCTAGACAAGTAGGATCATTAAGTACACCTGAAATAACTATCGAAGGGCGAATTGTTTTTGATCTAATGCAGATTATTCGACGAGAACATAAATTAAGAAGTTATTCGTTAAATTCGGTGAGTTTACATTTTTTACAAGAACAAAAAGAAGATGTGCCACACAACTCGATGCATGATCTACAGGAAGGTAATAAAGATACTAGAAAACGTATTGCTTCGTATTGTTTGAAAGATACCATTTTACCTTTAAGATTATTTAATAAGCTAAATATTTTGATTAATTATACAGAATTGGCTCGTGTGATGGGCGTGCCTTTAGAATATTTTTCAAGTAGAGGCGTAGGAATAAAGGTTTTAACACTTATTTATCGAGCAGCAGCAGAAAATGATTATCTTATTCCTGTATTAGACGTTGAGGATAATGATTCTACATATGAAGGGGGGTTTGTTATGGATCCCATGCGCGGGTTTTATCCGCAACCCATTGCAGTTTTAGATTTTTCGTCATTATATCCTTCTATTATGATTAGTCGTAATCTATGTTATTCAACGTTGTTGACAAAAGAACAATATGACAAATTTGGAGGAACTAAAACGCCCACTAATAATTATTTTGTAGATTCAAAAGTTAAGCAAGGTCTTCTTCCTAAAGTACTCATAAATTTATTAGCATCAAGAAAAGCAACTAAAAAAGAAATGAATGCAGAATCAGATCCTGGGATTAAAGCATGTTTAAATGCTAGACAAACAGCCATTAAAGTTTGTGCAAATTCTATTTATGGATTTACAGGCGCAAATACAGGTAAACTGCCTTGTGTTGAGATATCACAAAGCACTACATCTTTTGGTAGAGAAATGATTGCTTTTACTAAAAATATTATAGAATCTACATTTTGTAAAGAAAAAGGATATTCACATGATTCTATTGTAATTTACGGTGATACCGATTCCGTTATGATTAATTTCAAAGAAAATGATATGAAGAGGGTTTTTGAGATGGCAAGTGAAATTTCGGAATTTGTGACAACTAAATTTATAAAACCAGTTTCTTTGGAATTTGAGAAGGTGTATTATCCTTATTTGCTTATTAATAAGAAGAGATATGCTGGATTAATTTATAATAATCCCAATACTCCGAGTAAAATAGACACTAAAGGAATTGAAACTGTAAGACGTGATAATTGCAATTTAGTAAAGGAAGTAATAGAAACGTGTTTAAATAAGATTTTATATGATAAAGATGTTGAAGGTGCCAAAATTTATGTTAAAAAAATTGTACAGGATTTGTATCAAGGCAAGATAGACCTCAGTCAATTAGTAATTTCGAAATCTATAACAAAAGCAGGAGATAAATATGCTAGTAAACAAGCACATGTAGAATTGGCAGAAAAAATGCGTAAAAGGGGAGATGAGTCTGCTGGTGCGCTGGGGAATAGAGTTGCATATATTATGGTAGAAAAAGGTAAAAAAGTTGCAGGATACGATAAAGCAGAAGATCCAGTTTACGTTTTAGAACATAATTTACCAATAGATACTGAATATTATATAGAGCAACAGCTAGCAAAACCACTGCATAGGTTATTTGAACCAATTGTAGATAATGTATCAGAATTATTAAAGGGTGAACATACAAGGGTAGTAACAAATATTGTTAAAGCCAAAGGGCCGATGAATGCATTTTTACAAGCAAAGGTTACTTGCGTTGGATGTAAGGCATCTGGTACTATTTTATGCAAATCTTGTCAGCCTAATTTTTATAAACATCTTATAAAATTACAAACAGACGTAGAAAATAAGAAAAAATTATTTAATGAATGTTGGACTGAGTGTCAAAGATGCCAAGGAAGCCTACAGGATGAAATATTATGTGCTAACAGAGATTGTCCAATATTTTACATGAGAACACGGGTTAAAAAAGAATTATTTCCGCTAGGAAATAAATTAAAAACCCTAAGAGAATTTGAATGGTAATAAAGTTATTTATTGTTTTTTATTAATAAAATCTTATTTTTTAACAGTCCTAATATGTATATTATAAAAGAAGCCTCTCGATCTAATGTTTTGTTTGATATAAAAGTTTTTTTATGCGTTTTTTCAATAATTTTTGTATACTTTAATCGCTCTTTAAGTAATACCACAAAATTATTAAATGTACAAATAATAAAACAATTCTAAATAATTTATTTATACATTTATTTTTGCCAGACAAATGCTACTTAGCTACATTTTTCTCAATCTCTACTTATGTAATAAGAAATGACTGTTTGTTGTACATAAAAAAAATTCTTTTATCACTGAAGCATGTCAAACCAATGTACATGGTTTTTGATAAAAATTATACTCTTAAACT